GCGGGCGGGCAGGAGCAGATACTGCCCTCCGCTCCCGCCCGCCCAGCTGTCTGGGGCCGAGCCTTTGCTCATGTGACCTCTCTGGTGTTGAGGAGACAAGCGCGTGCCCCCAGCTTTCTGTGCAGGGCTACACACGAACGTTGGGCCACCGCAGGTCCCGTGAGGCACAGTTAGTGTTTGATCAACCTGGTCCCTGAACATGCAGGTTCCTGACAGCTTCTAACATCCAGAGACATGGGAGTGTCCTTTGGATGAGCTGTTCATCGGGGGATGCAAATAATGGTTATCAGGTGGAGGTCTGAGCTGGCCAGCCTCCTTGTTATTTACTTATCTGAGAATCACGGCCTCCTTCCTACCATCTGCTGTAAGCTGTCCGCTCCAGAACTCCTTACCTTATCATCAATATCCGTGATGTTCATGCAGTAGAAGACGTCATACTTGAAGTAGTCCCTCAGCACTCTTCTCAGGATGTCGAACGAGATGTAGGACCTAAAGCAACAGCAGGAGACCTTCCAGATCGCGAGCTATGCCCGCACCGCGGAGCAGACAGCTGCCAGGGAAAGGACTCTGGGGCACCTCCCCCAAGGCCCTGCGGCCACGGGGGAGCTCCAGGTCTGAGTGCCAGGGAAACCCAGCACCTGGGCACTCCCACCAGAGCCACAGGTGTGTGGGGAGGTGCAGGGGGCAGCCGGGGATTTGGGGCTGGGGCATCGCTCCTTTTGGCTAGCAGCGTTCTCTAGTTTCTCTACAGTGAGCATGCACCACTCACAGAGTGGAAATTGCTATTTTAGTAAGAGAAGGAAAATCGGTGTTGGTCTGCCCTTCAAACTGCAGCAGCTGGCACAGCCCGAGGCTGAGGGACACGCGTGCGGGAGCCGGCAGGCCTACCTGGCATGGCCCATGTGAGATGCATCATAAACGGTCGGACCGCAGCAGTACCATGTCACCCTTCTCCCGTTTTGAGGTAGAAACACGTCCTTTGTTAGAAACGAAGGGGTAACAATCACAGGAACGCAAGAGGCCTGCACAGGGCCCCCGAATCTGCAGCAAGTGGCTGCTACAGTCCAAGGACCGCTTGGCTTTCCTGAAGAGTCACACACACCTGGCCGGGGACTGTCAGACTCCTGAGATGGCACGTCTCCGTGCACGGAGGGGCCTGGGTGTGCACAGGCTGGCAGCAGACAGAATGCTGCTTCCCACACAGCAGCTGCTTACACTCACCACGTACCCTCTGGGACTCTGGCCCGACCCAGGGCCAACGGGAGGCAGGTGGCGCCCTCTCCCTTTCACAGATGAGGACACTCATCTCCAGGTGGACCAGGTCCACCTGCCTGGAAGGGCTGGGCTTGGAGGCCACAACCGCCCAAATCGAAGCCCTATTAGCAGCTGGCTGCACGCCACCCGCCGAGTGTCCACAGTCCTAGACCAGTTAGGGGTTCTAGTCACCAACTAGGTCCAGAAGGGGGACAGTCTCCCTGCCCACTGAGGGTGCTCACTGGTGAGAATCCAGCCCTGGAATCCAGCTGGAGCCCTTTCCTGAACCTCTGGCGTCCATGGCTGCTGAGCAGAACGAGCCAAGCAAAGCCCTGATTAGGAACCAGCCCTGCTCCTTCAAACCCGCTCGGCTCCTGGCAGCTCAAGCGGGCCTGCCACTGCCCGGTGTTCCTGGCTGGCACTGCCACATCTGCAGCCACCTTATGTCCTCTGACAGCATGCCAAGGTCCGGCCTGGCTCTGAGTGACCACAGGCATTCACACCCGGGCGGGGCCCAAGAATGCACAGGGGGCTGCGGGCTTCGGACTAGTGGGTGGGCTGGGACACAGTGTCCCACGTTTCAGAGGACTGCACTGCTCCGGCCACACAGGGACCCATGTGAGCAGCTGAAGGCTCTCCACCTGGACTTGGGGGAACTCCAGAGTCCCGTGCAAGGAACAGCTTTGTGTCTGGAAGGGCAGGGGGCTCACAGGGGCTGTCTCTGCACCCGCTCCCCACAGGCTCCCTCCTACCTTGCTCCGAGTGAGGCTGTTGTACAGGCGGAGCTTGCATGACTCGGACCCGGATGGAGGAGACCACTGAGGCTGTGCCCGCCGGCCTTTACCTGCAAGGGTAGAGAGAGCAGCTGGGTCATAGGAAATGCAAATGTAAGTCACCACCCTAAAGACTATTTTTACAATGGAAATAGTGTTTACAGTGAAATATCGCACAGTGTTAAACAATGTGGCACTGTCAGCATCGCCCGTGTCAGACCAACTGCTGCGCTGCTTGGTGTCACTGCCTCTGCACGCGGCACTGGCCCTACCACAACCCGACCCCCTGTGTGGCTCAGGAGGCCCATCACATCCTTCAAACATGGGCCCTCATGTCGCTGTGGGCCCAGCGCCAGACACTGGTGTCGGTCCAGTGGAGGCACAGGCCCTGCATGGGTGGGTCACGCTGCTGGACTATGATGCAGTTTATAGCTCAGGGGCCCCTGCCTCCCCTGGGAGGACAGCCCTCTGTGGAGGCCTTGCAGGGCTGGCCGCATCCAGGTGCAGCAGAGACCAGGCCAGAAACAGCTGCTGGGCTAAGGCCTTGGAAGTCAGCACAAACAGCCCCGGCCCCTCTCCACCAGTGGGTGAGCGGCAGGAGCCTCAGTTCTGGTCCCTGTCCCTGCAGCACGCAGGTGGCTCTGTGCCCAATTCTGACGCAGACGCCGCCTCTGCCGCTGGCTTTGAGTTATCAGCCCCTGACCGCCTCTGGGAGGAGCTGGGGATGCTCCCTGCTCCTGCCACCGCCCCTGTCCCCTCTGGAGCGAGTGTCCTGGGCGCTCCCTTCTGGACTCTCAGGGGCTGCCCCAGGCCCACACTCCCAGCCAGACAAAGGGCAGTCCTCAGGCAGCCTGTGTTCTGAGCACCTGGGGTGTGGGTGGGGGGTGGCTCCGGCCTGGCCAGGAATAGCCCAAGGCCAGTACTCATGCCCCATGGGCATCTGGCCACCTTGCCACCAGCCCAAGGCTCTGCTCCTGTGCCAGGAACCCAGCTGTCCCCTCAGGCCCCACTCAGTGCCAGCTTTGTGCCATGCTCACTGTGTCCAGGATGGCCTAGCAGGAAGCCTGGCATGCCTGCTCCTGTCTGGCCAAGCAGGACGAGCTGGCCACTGCAGCTCCCTCTGCCCACTTCCTGCCCCTTCCCGCCTTGGCCGCTGTGTCTGCACAGATTTGTCCTGCGCCAGACCCCACACGGGCCTCCTTTGAATCTACAAGGAAGGCAGCCAGTAGACCACTGCCCACTGGGAGTCACAGGGAGTCAGTCCTGGGCTCTGTCACTTGCCCAAGGCGGCCAGTCAGCCACATGGAGGGCGCAGGTAGCTGACAGCAAAGGGGACAGGGAGGAAGGCACATGCATATGAGAGTGTGCACGTGCGTGTGTGTATGCACTCGCACACAAGCAGGGAGTGGGCAACTGGAGGGGCAGGGGGCAGATGGTGCAAACAGGAGCCCCTTACTCTAGGTAAGCACCAGCAAACTGAGGTGGCCCCAGAACCAGGGCATCAAACATCACATGCTTATAGGGCCAGAAATGCGCCTCATGGGCTCATTTTAAATACAGCCAACATCGCCAAAGGAAACAATCCATAATTTAATGACTCTCCACGTGCCGTTTATGACTCCATCTGTCTCCTCCCTAAGGCCCTGTGACTCTGAGACACAGACAGGGCTGTCATCTGGGACAACTGGGGATGCCGGCTAGAGCTGGCACGCACACCAATGAGAACCAGATGCCTGCAGGCGGGTGCTCGCCCTGCTGGGCAGGAAGCCTTGGCTGGCCTGCCTGGACGGGGCTGACGGTGCAACCCAGGAGGCCTGGCCGGCAGACGCTGTGATACAACACCTGGGCATTCTAGTGCCATGAAGGGCTGCACCTGCCACCCAGCTGGCTTACACAACCTCCTATTTTCAAGAGGGGAGGCCATGGAGCTACTGCACAAAGACCCTTGATTTAATAAGAAAACTGTTCTCTGGCACCCCCTTACACAGCTAACTGCCCCCACATCCCCACGCACTAACAGGGCCCACCTGCTAGCAAGACTCCCACGCACACTCAACCTGACGATTCTGATCCGTGTCCCCATCGCGGCAGTCACCGCGACTGTGCCTTACTTTTCTGCTTCGGTTTCTCTCTGAAGCAAGGGACACATGTTCATTCACTCACCACGCGGGCGGTCCTCTCCAGAGCCTGTCCCAGAGCATGCTACCATGGCAACGGGGCCCTGGCCTGACAGAATCACACCTGCGGCAGCTGAAGCCCCATGCACCCCCTGTGAGCTGAGTCCTACAACGAGGTCCTGGGAAGGGTGGCGGGAAAAGGAAGTAGCAGCAGGGTGGGCCAGTCCCCTGCAGCGCTGGGCCCCACCCACCTGGGAGGGACTCTGCCCAAGGCCGTGAGGTCATAGGCCGCGGAGCGGGGAGCAGGTCACACCTACATTCCCACAGACACACACAGCCAGACCTGCACCTGGCGAGGAGTTTAACGCGCCTTCCTCAGTGAGAGCCTGCGCCAGGTTCCTTCCTGGAGGGGAGGGGGCAGGGGGTGGCAGAGAGCCCCGGGGAGGAGGGGTGGCAGGCTGAGCCCTGTCCAGGGGGGCCGACGGACCTCTGCTCTGTGTGCAGAGGGGAGGCTGTTGGCACAGGGAGGAGGGAGGGTCCAGGCCCTGGACAGGGGGCTTAGGCAAAGCCGTGGTCCCTCTCCATGTTGAGAGGGTCTTACGGGAAGAGACACAGTGGGCACAGCCCAGGCACAGGGACTTAGACTGGGGATCAGCAGAGGGGGCAGGGACCAGCCATGCCAGAGGTGTGCTCGGGGCTCATGGCATGCCAGCAGGGAAGGAAGCTCAGCCGGTGGACAGGGTGCCAGGGAGTGAGGGGCTGCAAGGGGCAGCGCTCCCACCCAGGAAGGGACTTCAGAGGCGTGTGAGCCGGGCAGCTGCGTGCTTCCTGCAGCAGTGTGAGGAGGCGGATGCGCGGGTACTGATGCTCCGGGGATGTGGGAGAGGGCACTGACTACGAGGGTCCCAGGACCTGCCCGAGGCTGAGGCTGACAGGCAGCAGCACCAGCCCAGCCCCTGGCTTGCAGGCTGATGACCTGATGCGTGCCACGCCTGCCATGCCCTGGGCACGCGAGGTTCCTGGTGGCCCCCTAGCTGGCATAGGGGGTGAGAGGACTTGGAAATGGGAGGGGGCAGGATAATGGCCCCAGTGCCGCTGGGTGCCCGCCTTCCCCTGCTCCGGGTCAGCCGAGAGCAGGCCGGAGCATCCGGGGCCTCGCTGTCCTTCATGTAAGTTAAAGGTGTTTGCAGAGCATAGACCCATCTTCATCTCGTGAGGTTGATGGCGTGTGTCTGAATCATTCAACAAGGGCCCTCAGTGGAACCCCAGGCAGGCCAAAGCTGAGGCTGGGAGTCCCCAAAGGCCACGCTTTGGGAGCAAGGACCAGGGAAAACCTGTCACCACAAACGTCCCCTGGGTCACCATGCTGGGCGCCCAGAGAGGTGACCCATGTCAGCGAAGCCTCCATCCTATGCTGGGCGGGGGTGGGGGTGGGGTTGCTACAGGGTTACTCAGGAAACTGAACCGCACCCCACCCACCCATTAGAGCAGGCAGAGACCAGGCCACAGTGCGGGGACGGTGGGATGTTCCAGGTGCCCCACCTGAAGGTGTCTAGAAACCCCCCGGCAGGCTGTCCAGCACCTGGCCTGCCCCTCCCATGGAAAGAGGCAGGTACCCAAATCCATGGAACAGCCAAGCTGCTTGAGAGCACCAGGCAGTTCACGGACAAACACCCTTGGATTCATCAAAGGAGAAACCACACTGGAACTGCACCCCTGAGACTTTCCAGTAGTGCCCCCAAAGTATAGGCTCCTGGGGCCCCCAGAGCTCCAGCACTGAGAGGAGCCAGAGCCACGTGAGGTTTCATCTCAAAGCAGAGAAGTGACTTACTTCTGATTTTCAAAAAGTTCAAGGTCAATATTGCTTTAGTATTTAACCATTCTAAGTCTGGGGACACATACAATGCAACCTCACAGAAAGGGCAGAGAGAAGAGCCCAGGCAAACCCAAGCCAGGCAAGGACACGTCTACGTTCCTGGGATCCGGGGCACCTGATGCAGCTCCGTGTGAGAGCATGAGCTTGTGGGAGCGGCTCCACGACAGCGGCACGGGGGCCCCGGTACTCAGCCGGCTCCTCGGCGCACCTGAGCCTCGCCTCCACGCGGGGGGTGCGAGTCAGCCCGCCAGGCCACCCTCCTGCACCTGGTGACAGGTGCCTGCCCTGCGGGCTCCTCTGTGGCGCTGCTGCCAGGTGCCGTGCACCCGCAGGGCCCTGACCGCAGAGGCGGCTGCTGGCAGGAGAGGCCCTAGCGGCTGGGAAATGTTCCAGCTACTCTGCTACTCACTTGCTTGGTGCCCACCGGGCTCGCCTCTGCTGTGGGGGGCGCCCAGGATCGCTTCTATGTGCCTGAACCACCGGGCCACGTGGAAGAGGGGTGCGTCAGCGGGAGGGGCCGAGAGCTGCCTGAACACGTCCACGTCTGCCTGGGACAGGGAGTACCCCTGGATATAGCTACGCGTGCTGAGGTGCTCGTTCAGGGCCTGCACCCTGGCCGCCTCGTCACTAACGCTCAGGATGGACCTGTAGTCGGGAGCTGCAAAGACAGAGGCACGTGGTGTCAGTTGGGGGCAGAGGCCTCGGGCAAGAGTCCAGGAAGACAGAGGGTCCTGGGTGTCAACCCTTCCCCAGATATGAGATGTTCAGAACAGGCATATCCAGAGGGACAACAGACAGGTGGTTGCCTGGAACGGGGCAAGAGGGACGGGGAACGATTCTCATGGAGTTTCCACAGTGAGAAGGTTCTGGAACTAGACAGAGGTACTGGTTGCACAATACTGCACTAAATGCCGCTGAAACTGTGCACTTTAAAATGGTGAATTTTACGTCACATGAATTTCACCTCAGTTAAGGAATGCAAACACGCACACATGCAGGACCCCTTTTCGGCTGATGCACACCTCCCATCCGGGCCCGGAGGGCTGGTGCTGACCAGTTCTGGGAGGGTGCTGGGGTGGGTGAGAACTGCAGAACTCTCAGCCCCACTTTGGGCCCAGCCCCGTGCAGCCAAGGCCATGTTCCCGGGAGGGCAGAGCCCCTGACATGCCTGCCCAGGGAACAGACTGTTCAGCCAGCCACCCTTTCCTACAGCAACTACTGAAGGAGGCTGACAGCTGAATTTGTACCTCCCACAGCCCAGAGTGACTCTCTCAGGGACGGGAAGGCCACTCCTCTGAAAGGCAATTATCCGGGAGGATGGGCTCTGGGCTCCGGGCTCCGCTGGAAGACAGAGCACCACTTCAATGACTGCGGCCAGCGGACACTGCTGGCCGCAGCAGCCTCGGTCATCACCAGCCCTTTGTGATTTTCACCTCCCTGGTTCTACAGACCCTCCCCCGCCCTCCCCCTCCCTTTAGTGCACCTGCCGCTGTCACCCCTGCACAGAATTGGAGTAACACCTGTTCTCACCACTGCAACTGATATTTGGCTGGTTTCTCTCTGGCTTGGGGGCCTCAGGAGCCAGGGCTGCCCCCAGACCTAAGCAGGAGGGCACAGCAAGGGGCCAGAGGTGAGTCGGGTGGCACCAGGCCTCTGGCTGTGGGAAGGAGCCTGAGACCGTGAGTCTGAGCCGCCCGTGAGCCATGCTCCTAATCTCAGCTATTCCACTGAAGTTCCCCGAGGGAACAATGGAAAGAGGGCCAGTGTTGCTTCCTTCCCCACAGATGCCCTGGGCTCAGGGTGCACATGGCCTGGGGGCAGCTCAGTGTGGGCGTGTGGGTCCCTCCCGCTCTGCCTGGTGCAGCTTCCCTTCTGGCACAGGGCAGAAGCCCTACACGCGAGCTCCTCCAAGCAAGTCAGTGGATCGTGGTGCTGGTCCCTCCATGGGACAGGGAGGGGACGGGGACCTACACAGCTGTGCCCACCAGCGTCCCTGCCCCTCTTCTCCCTGCCCAGCAGGGCAACAGGAAAGGCACTCCACCACACCCACACAGGCCTGACAACAGACCGCACAGCGTCTGGGGGAGCCACACGCACACAAAGGCCTTTGTACTCTTGTTTCCGCTGTGGGGAAAGCCCCTAATTCAGGTCCTGCCAATACCCACTTCTGGACACAAAGCCACCAGCCAGAAACCAATAGAAGATGAAAGCCTGCAGCATCTTCCAAGGGGCTGCAGGCCAACTATCCGGGTTCTTGGGCTGCCCTGACCTCACCTGCAGGGAGGCGTGGGCACCAAGGGGAGAAGTCTTCCCTGAGCTCTCAGGCAGATGCTATGCTTAAGACACAGGCTTCCCTCCCCACTGCACCCCAGGGGGGTTCCAGCACAGGGCGCATCTCATGCAAGGACAGCCGCCCACTTACTGTGGCCACCAGGTACCGCTGCTCTGCACACCCTGCCCACCATCTGCAAATTAGCCCCAGGAACACCCACAGAGGACAACAGTCCAAGGCTCCACCTGCAAGGATACTGGGACCTGGCCCCTCCCTCCCCAAGACCCTGGGGGCAGGCCCTGGGCAGGAACTGCTCCACAAGGTGGCCAGGGCAGCCTGCTAAGAAGGGCCAGGGCTCAGCCTTCCTGCAGCCAGCCCCGATCTCACAGCAGTGAGTGTCCCAGAGTGCAGCGCCAGGGATGGGCTGGGGTGTCCGGCGCCTCGGCCGGCAGGCCCTCCCCCACAGCACCCAGCACCCAGGCCTTGTTAAGGCTGCAGCTGCTTTTAACCCCCAAGCATGCTCAGCGAGAGCCACACTGCTGCCTGAAGGCACACCTCCCGGGGGCGCAGCTTATGATGCAAGCCAGTCCTACAAGGAGAACATCAACTCTGGAACTGTCAAAGGAAGTGATCTTCAAAGGTGGCCGGTGGTCCTGGGGTGATGCTGCCCCCAGCTTCCTCCCTTCCCTGCTGTGGCGGGGAGGGCTGTTCTGGGTAGGTCTGCGCCTTCTGCTGCGCTCTGGGGAACAGCCCCTGGGACAGCAGTGCTGACAGGAACTGCCCTACTCCCGCTAAAGGTGGAACCCAGGGAGAAGGGAGGCAGCACCTGCCAGGGCATCCTGGGCCCCAGGACCACCTAAGGGAACACAGACAGGACCTGCCCCCAGATTTTCTGCAGGGCATGTTCCTTCCCAGGAACTTCTGTTCTCCGGGGGCACCTGCCCCCAGCAGCACCCCTCGACTATGCGGAGGAGAATGACACCCACCAGAGATGATGCAGAGGCCCTGCCGGAGATGCAGAGAGCTGGCGTGGGCCACATGTGGGCTTTTGGGAGTGGTTCCCCTTGCACAGACCCTCCTGGCTCCAGTCTCCCAGCAACCTCTGTGGAGTGCAACCATCGGTGCCAGGACCAGAGCCCAGGAGAGGGAGGGGTCAGAGCTACGGACAACGGAGGCTCCTGACAGCCACTGGCTTCAGGGCCCTCCCACCCCTCAGCCCACCGCGCAGGGGAGAGGCACTCCAGGGGCTCAGTATTCTAGCAGCAGCACCGGCCCTGGGGACTCGCTGAACGCGGTTACCCTCCACAAGCCAGGTCACAGACCATTTTATTTCCTTCATTTTTCTACAATAGGCATGTGTTTTTTTTAAAAAAACGTGTCAAACATTCTAACCAATATGAGGTAGTGGGGGAACCGCCAGCCTGGCAGAGGGCCTGTGCAGCCCATTGGGCTCCCCGCACACTCCCCCACACCACTCCCCTCATCATGAGTAAAAGAGGCTCCGCACAACACACGCCACCTCGTAAAGCTGTGGAGCATTAGCGAAATTACACTTGTAAAAGGTTTACGACGCCAGCTGACATGCAGCCAGTGCCCAGTTTGCCATTATTATTAGAATGGCTCCTGCATTAGTATTACTATCATAACCGTCCCTGGAGTTGTTTGCCCAGGGATTACACAGACATTTAAAATGTACTGTCTGGAGAAGCCCAGACCATCAAAAGGGAGGGATGGCTCAGGTGGGGGGCGTGGTGCCCAGGGACACAGGCGGATGACAAGCTTCCAGGTGTCAGGCCACGGTCACCAAGGTAATTGTGGCGCCACTACATTTAAACGTGTCTCCAGGAAACAAAACAGGTTAGCTTTCAGGTGGTCCAGGGGCCTGGCCAGAATGCCGTCTGGCGTGGGCCTGCAATGCTGAGGTCATGTAAGAAGCCTCCCCTCCTGAGAGGGTGGCCACCGGGCAGGGCCTCCCAAGGAGCCCGCATGCACGGGGCACCAATCACCAGCTCCATTCAGAAACACGCTGCAGGAGAGATGCTGCCTTCGGGGGACCTCCTAACCGTGGACATGATTATCACAGCACAGAAAGCTGACATGTTCATAAAACGTTTTCTGAAACTACACAAACTCCAGAACTAGCTGATCGCTCAGCACAGACATGGAAACAAATTCACACCAAATGAGGAACGTGGTCCGGAGGCGAAATGGCACTGCATCGCCTCTTCCTCTACCCGGCTCCTTCCAGGGGTGCTGAAGCCTGCTCCTGGGGCCCTGCCCCCCTCTTCCCCGCAGCCAGGCTGCCCACACAGGGGTGGCCCTGGGCATCAGCAGCCCCAGCCCTCTGCCGTCAGCGTCTGGGGGCTGGTAGTGGGGATTCACACCAGCTCCCAGGGTCCCCGTGTGCTCAGAGCCTCAGGCAGCAAGCCGAAGTGCGGTGTGGGACCCTGCGCAGCAGGTCTGCCTTCCTCAGAGGCCCCCAGGCCAGGCTCGGCGACCCACGCCCCTCACTCACTGCCCGGGCCTCGGCTTGCAGACAGCAGCACCCAGCCCCGCGGATCACGCTCCTTCTGCAGACGCTCCTGTGGCCTGGCCAGCCGTACCCTCTGCAGCTGCACTTGTCCTCCACATGGTCTCCTGCTGGGTGCCCAAGCCTGCCCAGGGGCTCTCAGGAAGGGAACTGGAAAAGGCTTCTCACGTGCATCCCCCCCAACATGAGAGGCATGGGCACCCCTGCTCTCCACCACCTGGGGGCAATGCCACCCACTCCCCATTCCCCTCCAGCCCCTGAAGTCCAGTTGTCACTGGGTCATGGGTATCACCAGCCATCATGCTTTGCCCCCGAACCTGGACATGAGTCCTGGGGAATGGCACGGCCGTTTTCCCCTACTGGGCACCTCCAATTGCTTATTCCCCACATCAAACCCAGCACCAACCCTGCTCCTCCCAAGCCGGCCCACTGCTGCCTCTGGCCCAGGCCCCCAGGACACTGTCTTGTGTCCTTCCTGGTCTCCTGGCCTTAGGCCACACTCCTACCCTTCCTCCACAGGAGCTGGAAGAGATGATCTTTCCAAAACTCAAAAGCAAGACCTAAATTCCAAGAACAGGCTTAAGGCCCTTGCAGCCCTTGTGCTGTGGACTACCCCAGCCCTCCCCCATTGACCTCAGGAAATTGCTGGAAAACCATGCAGTTGCCCGTCTTCCGGCCTTAGTGCAGGAAGCCTTCACTGCCAGGACCCTTGGCATGGGTGGGGTCCTGGCAGTGAAGGCTGCCTGCACTAAGGCCGGGTGGGCACGGGTGAGGAGGTTTCAGCCTTGACACTCAAAGCCCACATACGAAGCCTCCCCACCCCCCTCCATTGCCCTACCCACCCTCAGAAGCAGAGTCCTGGAGGCTCACCAGACCCACGTCCCCCATCTCCAGGCTCTGGGACTGGGCTTGGCCAGTATACCATCTCCTACCACTGCGTCCAGCCAGGCCCAGGAGGGCCTCCCACCTGCTTCCCTACACTCCACCTTGCCCAAAGGATGGCTGGCAGGGGAGGACCCAGCCGAGGCCCTGGCAGATTTTGGAGGCACAGAGGAAGGAGCCTGGGCTCTGAACCACCTCCCCAGACTGGCCCATCCAGCAGCATGTGCACCGAGAAGTGACGGGAAAGGAGCCGCCCACGTAAGCCTCAGCCAGGAGCTGGCTGGGCAGCCGCCCCTGCATCTACGCACCGCACAGGCTTCTCACTCCCACTGCCCTCACATACTGCCCTGCTGGACGGGAAGCCTGGCCCAGCCACGACCCTCAGCCTTGTTTGCTGCTGTCTGTCCAGGGCCTGGCAATGTCTCACAAAGCAGGGGCTCAAAGCACACCCACTGAGCAGGTAGTTCAGACCCCTCCTGGCAAATCATCTGAACTACTCTGACCATTTCCCACCGTACTTGCAGCTATGATGCTGCCACATGGGACTTTACTTCCCCACGTCTTTCACAAACCTTTTGGTTCTTAGGACAATCTGCTGCCCTGATGACAAGTGGGGGATCAGATGGCACTGTAGCCAGCAAAGACAGCATGGACACCGGACCACCCCAGGGGCACCATCTCTTATGACTCTCAAAAAGCAAATACTGGGAAACATGGGAACATGAATCCATAGGTGAATCAATATTCGTAGTCTATAAATGTGTTTTCTTCTTTAGAAACACAGCAATGCATACCAGCTTTATCCTCTTGTCTACCTTGACTCACTCTGAAACTGGGGACCTTGTAATCATTCTGAATAGAACCATGGAAGACAACACAGTGTTAGCAGTTAAGATCCACACTGTGCTCAAACAACCTGGGTGGGAAGCCTGGCACTGCCAGTAGCGAGCTGTGTGACCTCGGATAAATCACTTCACTTCTCAGAACCTCCAGATTCTTGCCTGTACAGGAAGATGAGAACAGCATATACCAAAGGGTCGCCATAACACATGTATTTAGATCAGTGCCTGGCACAGACTGATGCTGAGAAAAATGCTAGCTGCATTATTATTTTGAAAACTCTTTGAACTGAGCTATAAAAAATGAAACCAGAAGTCTGACCTAACATGCAGCCATCAAAGAGGGCCCCCAATCTGCAGGGCAAGGTCTCTGCAATGCGTTCCATCCACCTGGGCGTCCTCGGAGCTGAGACTCACCTGCCTAAGACAACTGGGCCTTGGAATGGGGGCTCAGCTTCAAGCTACAAAGGCAAAGCCATAAACCCAGTGCCATCACAGGGGCCACCAGACATCCGAGACACCCAAAGATAACTGGAAGTGAAAAGAATATTGTAAAGAGAGCCTCCTTGCAAGCTGGGAAGCGGTCACTTTCGTCCACTTGGAAACGAAAAGCATTCCGAAACTGGAAACCAAAAGTATCTAGAACTCTGGCCGTGGTATGAGGCCATTATCATTTTATTTCCTGCTTCCTCAGAGGGGGGAAGTCTGGGGTGGGGGGAGGGGGCACTGTGGGGCACGGGTGGGGTGGAAGCACGGGTGAGAAGGAAGAGCAGGCAGGCCATGCCCTACCTGGGTCAGCGCGCTGGCTGAGAGATACTGCCCTAAGGTTTAGGACGAGGAAAAGCCATCCGCTGTCCAGATAACTTGGTGTTTGAAAATCCCATTTACGTATCAACCTCCAAAAACAGACCAGCTCTTACTAAGGTTCTGAAGCAATAAAAGACAAACCTAGTACGTCATTTATATGCTAAAGTGAACCAAAAAAAACACACTTTTATTAAAAACAACACAGAAACAAGCTCCAGTTTTCATCACTGACACAGCGCCTCTCCTGTTCCAGGCATTGTTCTAAGTCCTGCACATCCACGACTCCTTTGACATACACACGTTACTCACTGTACTGTGAGGAAGGGGTAGAGCTGGGACCCCCAGACACCAGGCCAGCTCCAAGCTGGGCTGTGAAAGGCGCTACTATTTTATGGGAGTCTGGGTGGACTTCTGAGGGCTGCGTGGCAGTGCAGGAATCTGGGCACACCTGTCAGTTGCAAGGAGGCACGCCAGGAAGGTGGGTATTAGCATGGATCAGCAGCCCTGTCACCTGAGTGCCTCCCACGTCATCAGGCCACCCAGGTGGTCAGAGCTCCTGGCCTAGAACCCCAGAGCCCTCAGGAGCAAGGGAGATCCCAGGTGCCAAGGAAGCCTGACACCGTTCAGCTGTAGGCGGGGTGGCATCCTCTCAGTACCTGCATGTAATTTTCACCAGCCAAGAGAATAAGAACTACACACTGAGGATTCCTCCTCAGGAATTTTTGCTCCAGGCTTAGGAATCTAGGCGACAATCTCTGGTCTTTCTGGCACCTACAGTCTTGCTTGAGGGATGGTGGGAAAAGACCCAGTGCTCTTCGGAGGTCTATCTGTGGACGAACTTGTCCACCCCCTGGTGACATGGGTAACCTGTGTGGGCAGAGCTGGAGTTGCTCACTGAACCTCCTGGGCGGTGGCAATAAGCTGGGGCAATAATGCCCCGACCAGGAAGATCCCAATGGCCACTGTTCCGGGAGCCCCAGATGAAAGCCTTTGTGAAGAGCCCAAGCCCTTTCATGTGTGCGTCCCTGGCATGCCCGGGTCTCCTCCGCCACCCCCGGATGCTGCTGCGAGGAAACCAAAAACCCTGGGATCTGCCGGTCCCAAGACCAAAAGTCCAGCGGGGCCAGGAGGGGGCGAGATCCCACCCAGGGGCCGGTGGGGGTAAAAAGTAGGGCCACCACCTCGGGGTCGGGGGCACACCCAACAAAAGGACTGAGGCTGGGAAGGGGTAGGGGGATAGTTAGAGGAGCCCCAGCCCTGCCTGCGCGTCCCGGGGTCGCCCCCAAGCCCGCCCTCAGGTTTGGAGTCACTCATCTATCTGCCCCCGGGAGCCAGAACCCTAAGCGCGGGGTCGCCCCTGCGAGCCGGGTGCCAGGCACTCTCGGAGCCTGAATCGCTATCTGCCCCGGGGACCCAGCCCCCTGACAGCCGGTCGCCCCCGCCCGCCCCGGGAACACAGCCCGTTAGACCCGGGGTCCCCGCCCGCCCCGCCGCGGGCACTCACCCTGCTCCCCGGAGGAACCTGCCATCGTAGGAACTGGGGCACCGCCGCCGCGGAGACAGCTTCCCAGAATCTGATGCAACCGCCGCCCCGGAAGGCCCGCCCCGCGCCCGCCCCGCCTTCCGGGACCCGCCCGGTCGCTAGGCAACGCCACGCCTCCGGACGCCGCCGCCCGCCTCGGGCCGGGAGCCGTGTTTCCCCGCGCGGCGGCCGGCGCCCTGGAGCACCGTCCCCGGGGCCGGCGCGGGGCTGCAGTCTCGCCGCGGGGAGACAGGCGTCAGGGCCAGATCGTCTCACGCACGGGTGCCAGCGCTACGCTACGTGGGTTTGGGCCAGCCCCGGCCGGGCAGCCGGAGCGCGCCTCTCAGGGGCAGGAATGTGCTGGCCCGGGGGGAGGACAAGTTCCAAGGAGGCTTGGAGAATGCGTGGGCAGTGCCTTCCAGAGGGGCAGTCCAGCAAATGACCCCAGGCGACCACAGGACACGCTGGAGCAGCCCTGGCAAGAGATGGGGCAGGAGCCCAGGCTAGGGCTGGCGCTTCTTGAAACATCTTGTAAGCTAAGCCAGCAACGGCAGAGAGCCACGGAAGCCCACATCTAACAGTTCTCCTGTAGGCCTGACAGGATTTGGGCTTCAGCACCGTTCGTTTCCGCTGCGGAGGCGGGGCAGAATGGATTCGGGGAAGCCCCAGGAAAGCAAGATTGACAGTAAGCAGTTTCCATAGCCCATAGGAGAGTTAAGTGGCCTGGCTGGACTCGCACGGGGAGCACAGATCCCAGCAAGCCAGAGTGGCGAGGAAATGCTGGGGTGCGCCGGGGGTGAGGGAAGCGGCGGGGTTGGGGATGGCACCCAAGTTTCTGGACTGAGAGACTGGGTGGTTGTGGCACTTACTTTAATGATAAACAGGCAGCTGAAGATACTTGGCACTGGATGGAAATAAGTGGACTGATTGATGTGTGACTATTTCCAAGGCCTGGTTGGAGTGAGGCGGGAAGGGTGGGGCTCCCATTCTGAGCTGAGCAATGGGTGGACAGCACTGTCATTCCCAGGGACAAAGACCCCAGGGAATATAAACCCAGGGGAGGAGAGGCTTCTCTGGCCCCTGATCCCCATTCCAGAGCCCCTCCTCCCACAAATCACATCCTTGGGGTCCTAGTCTTCCCCTGTGCATGACATCACCTCCCAAGGACATCATGCCCAAGGTCGAGTACCCATTGGAGTAAGAGGAAGCTCTTTTTTTTTTTTTTGAGGAAGCTCTTTTTAACATGTAAAACTTTAATAGGTGAAGAAAAAATACATTCCAACCTATACAAACTTGATACTTGTACACTGACACTTAAAAACATTACGGTGAACAGTCTACATTCACAATTAATGAAACCAGAAAAAGAAGAACAAATGAGCCCAAAGCCAGTAGAAGAAATAAATAAAATAAAGAAGAATAAAACAACAGAATCAATGGAACCAGGAGCTGGTTCTTTGAGAAAATCAACAAAATAGATAAACCCCTAGCCAGACTTACCAAGAAAGAAAAGAGTATAATAAACAGAATCAGAAATGAGAAAGGAAAAATCACTACAGACACCATAGAAATACAATGAATTATTAGAGAATACTATGAAAAATATGGCAAAAAATTGGATAACCTAGAAGAAACGGACAACTTTCTAGCAAAATACAAACTTCTAAGACTAACCCAGGAAGAAAAAGAAAATCTGAACTGACCTATTACCAGTAGACATTGGTCACCAAAAAACTACCTAAGAACAAAACCCCTGGAACATAAGCTAGTTCAACCATCATGGAAAGCAATATGGAGGTTCCTCAAAAAACTAAAAATAGAATTACCATTTGACCCAGGAATTCCACTCCTAGGAACTTACCCAAAGAAAACAAGATCACAGATTCAAAGAGGCATATGCACCCGTTTATTGCAGCACTATTTACAATGACCACGATAGGAAGCAACCTAAGCGTCCATCAGGAGGTGGATAAAGAGGTGGTACATATACATATGGAATATTATTCGGCCATAAGAAAACAAATTCTACCATTTACAACATGGATAGAGCTAGAGGATAGTATGCTCAAGGAAATAAGCCAGGCAGAGAAAGACAAGTACCAAATGATTTCACTCAAAGACCCCAAGAAGGGACTAGCAGTTACCAGAGGGGAAGGGGAGGGAGGGAGGATATTAAGGGGTATGATTAGCATGTAGGGGGTCACAGAGAAGGCAGTATAGCAGAGAAGACAAGTAGTGACTGTGTCATCTTACTACGCTGATGGACAGCGAGTGCAATGGGGTGTGGGGGGGACTTGATAATATGGGTGAGTGTAATAACCATGTTGCTCATGTGAAACCTTCGTAAGATTGTGTATCAATAATACCACCTTAATAAAATAAACAAAATCATTAAGGCACTTAGAAAAGGTCACCATGCTCCACCATGTGACACCCAGCAAGCCAGAGTGGCGAGGAAATGCTGGGGTGCGCCGGGGGTGAGGGAAGCGGCGGGGTTGGGGATGGCATCCAAGTTTCTGGACTGAGAGACTGGGTGGTTGTGGCACTTACTTTGATGATAAACAGGAAGCTGAAGATACTTGGCGCTGGATGGAAATAAGTGGACTGATGTGTGACTTTTTCCAAGGCCTGGTGGGGCTCCCATTCTGAGCTGAGCAATGGGTGGACAGCACTGTCATTCCCAGGGACAAAGACCCCAGGGAATATAAACCCAGGGGAGGAGAGGTAGTCTCAATTTAGAAAGGTGGGGTCTGGTCTCAGTTCAGCGTTACCACTTGGCACAAGTCTTGACTGATGGTCTGGCCCAGTGTCAGGTGTATTCTAGTGTCTGCGACTACTCAGGGTGGCCAGCAGTGGCCTGTCATTGACTTGCTTGTACACAGAGATCCTGTCAGTGCCACACCCTGTTCGTGGGGACCTCACAGGGATATCACAGTGGCTCTGATATCAAGTCCGTGGGAGCAGGAAGATAGTAACTAAACTCTCCTGACCTCAGCACCTGGTAAGACGTTCTGAGGAACATGAACCCACCCAGCACAATAAATAGGTCTCTGCCAAACAGGCTCCCTGGATCCGCTTAGGATAAGCCCCCACCTGCCCCGCGGCCCACAGGCTGCCCTCTGGCTCCCTTTGTTCTGACAGAGAAGCACTCGTTTGCAAGCAGAACCTCCCCACTGGAAGAATCTATCCGGGTCAGATCAGAGGCATATCAGGACCTTCGATTCCTGCAGTCTCCAGCTGGACCACAACTGGGAAAGCAGCTCACATCACATCCACTTAGGATGCGGTTTAAAGTACCATTCTGGATCAAAAAAGTTCACAATGAATTAAAAAAGGGGTTTCCTCTAATTGGTAGTCTCTTCACAATTAACTAGGATATTTTCAGCTATCAATTTGTTTATAATATTTTGCAAACATGTATGTAGCTCCATTTTATGGAGGACGGCCATTAGTTTGAAAATAGAAGTTTTCCTTCCCAGCTTTTGAGTCCACTTGAGGAGCATCTTATGATGCTGTTCCAGCAAATTCCCGGGATTCTCCCTTTCACAAATCTCTATTTCATTTTCGTCAAGTCCAATAAATCTCATGAACATCCTCCATTTACACTCTGGAACTTGATGTTCAAATTCATAATAGATCCTTATGTCTGCAAAGAAAAACACAGGAAGAGGTTGTTTACATCTCTGGAAGGAACGCGCAAGCATCAGAGGGGACTCTGCTCTTTGGGGTGTTTCTATCTTCCCCAAGGGCTGGGTACCAGCTGGCACACTACACCCAGGAAGTGCACGGCCCCGGCAGACGCCAAAGACACCGGGCCCAGAGACCAGGAGCACGAGATCGGCCCCATCCTGCAGTGGCTCTGGCTGTGGTTGATGCTTGTTATTTGAGCCAGCGACCCAGGGAAAGCCATGAGCTCCATGGGAATGAGGAGTCTGCTGAGGCCCGCCCTTCGCTTCCTCTTTCCCACTACAGCTGGAGAGAGACTGTCAGAGGTCAGGCTTGAAAAGGCCTCTTGCAGTCAGCTGGGGGACCATGGCTAGGACATGAGACCTGGGCTGAGTTTTGTAACCTCTCTGAGCCTTGACTTGCCTTGTTTTTCAATCTGTAAAATGGGTCATCCTGCAGAGCTGTTGGTGAGGGTGAGTCATAAAAAATACCTGGAATGTAGCACGTGCCCCACAGATCCTTGTTACATGCCACTAAAATCATCATCTCACAGCCAATGGGGGCCAGCTCATCTAGTTTCAGAGGTATTCCTATCACCCTGCCACATCTTTTCCTGAAACATGTATGTGCTATAAAATAAAAGCAACATTCAATTTTTCTTTATGAACCCCACAAAACTCCTACGTGACACACATCTGCTTTCCGTCAAGGCACTAAGTGAGTACGAAGAAGTGCATCTCAAGTCCTCAGGAAGGCTCTCCATGGCTTCATGTCAGCAGATGCTCCCCCTTCTCACAAAGACATGAAGCCTGACATTCACACCAAAATAAGATTTACGCCTACACAGTTGCAATACATGAAGAAATCGGGATGACTTACCATCGCTGGGCATATTCCTCAAAAAATACTTTTGTTCATATTTCTGTGGAGAGAAGAGAGTAAAAATGTTGCAGAAATTCTGTGTAGCCTCTCATCGTAATTCTACTGACACAGAACCAGGACCCAGTTTCTCATGGGAGCAGCAGGATAGGGGCCGGGGAGATCCTATGATCACGCAAACACCTGGGAGCCCAGAGGCACGGCTGGCCTGCGTGGAGTGCCCCCAGCCCCCCACCAAGTAGCAGAGAGCTCACGGCCCATCTGTGCTCTCTGGTTCTTGTTCCCTAGGAACGTGGCCCAGGTTCAGGGGCCACACTGTGGAGTCATGGCTGCCCCTGCTTGGGTGGGCAGGGGTCCTGGGTACGGCTGCTCTGAGTGTGCTCCCCACCGCCAGACGTAGGCTCCACTCCCCCAACCCTGGGTGGGGGCAGCACGTACAGGGGAACCATGTCCCCTAGGGGTGACCTGTCTCACTCTGGGTGACACTAATGGAGAGAATACCCGCGCACAGAGGGCACTGTGAAAATCTATCAGGGGCCTCATGGCCGCTTCCTAGTTTAGGAAGCCTGAGCCTGTCCAGGCCACACTGGGCAGCTGGAGCTGACTGCTCATGAGGCAGAGTCCCCCTGGAGGTGGACCGAATGCTTCCCTGAGGACAAGGTCAGGTGGCCCCTGTGGTAGAGCCACCTGCTGTGGGCCCAGGGCTGGAGCCTGACTGTGTGCATTCAAATCCCAGTTATGGCCCCCAGTTCCCCTGCTGGCATGGCCAGGGGGGTCCCGACATCTGTGTTTAATTAGTCTCAGACCCCTTAGGCAATCTGAGGAGTCACAAATGATGCGCAAGGGCAGATGACCCAGTCTCCAGAGCTTCAGCCTCCACGTCCATACCGGATGGGCACCGGGTCCTGGCCTTCAGCACAGGTGACCCATGACCTGCCTTTAGGATCCAGAACAGGGGCCTCCTCACACCCCAGACACCAGCTCCAGGCCCCCCTGATGTGCTACACATGCCACTCACACTTCCTGAAGAGCTCCCCCCCTCCTCAAGACCACTTAGTGGGTGTCTGCTTATCTTGTCAAATCCTATTCAGATGTCACCAATTTGTGAAGGCCCCAGAAGCCCCATGGCGGACAATGGGACCATCACTTTCCTCCGTGCCCAGCTGCTCTGTCCTACAAGGCTCACCCCTCCCGCCATGGCCCTGTAACCATCTTCTGCAGATGCCAGAGCCGGCACACAGGAAGTGCTCAGCAGATGCCTGCTACGCTGGTCTCAGAGATGAGCACGCATCCAGGGGGCTGCCGTGTCCAGCACTGGCAGCAGGGCCTCCCTGGGTCCCAAGAAGAGGACACTCTCTGAGCCCCAGTGCCCCTCGGTGACACGGTCCCACTGGCCAGCAGGCCAGGTTAGGGACTGTTATGGGTTGAACTGTGTCCCCAGCAAAGATGCTGAAGCCCTAACCCCCAGTTCCTGTGAGTGTGGCCACATTTGGCAATAGGACCGTTGCAAGTGGCAGTTCAAATGAGGCCATCAGGGTGGGCTCTAATCGTGTGACAGGTGTCCTGTGGAAAGGGGAAGTGTGACAGGTCCCCACACAAGGCTGTGTAAGGTGCAGGCACAAACTGGGGTCACGCTCCTATCAGCCAAGGAGCCCCACAGACAGCTAGCGCCCCCCAGCACCATGTGAGGCCTGGACCAGATGCCTCACCGCCCGCCCAGCCTCAAAAGGACCCGCATCGATCTCAGACTTGCATCCTCCAGACTGAGAATAAATCCCTGCTGTCTAAGCACCTCCCGTCCCCACCCCACCTGTGGGGCTGTCAGGGCAGCCCCAGGAAATCCACACCAGAATCTTACAGGAACACGCATGCCAGCACTTAACTCAGCTCTGCACACAGCAAGTGCACAAGGGCAGGCCTCGGCCCGACTCGGACCCGCGGACCTACCTGCTCGAGAATGCTGAGGCCAAGGGCCGTCGGGGCCTGTTCTGGGGCTGCTGGACTTCCCGTGGCCGCCACTGCCTGTGGCTCTACACTCTCCCCAGTGTCTCCGGAGGGCCCTGGGCAGGTCCCGGCCCCGGGCACCAGGGCCAAGGCTTCTTC